TTTTAAGAAATTGTAGAATATTACATCCCATACATTTATTTTATAAAGAAATGATGGAACATTATCTGTCATTGCCACAAACTCATTAAGAATTTTATCCCAATTACAGAATAGTAATAAAACAAACTTACATATATTAGGAAAAAAAACAAAAAAAAAGAGGAACAGGATACTAATATTATATAACTTGTAACACTACCTTGTATGTCAAACCAAAATTCCTCAATAAAACACTGAATTATCCAAAATAAAAATCAATTACACTTAAATAGGATAAAAACAGAACAATGGTTATAAGGGAATCATCATTTCTTAACATGAAATAAGAACAGTGAATATAGATAATTTAGAGTTCAATTTTATCTATAACTGATGTTTTTTCTAGCACATTTCCATATGGAACATAATAATCAAATTGAAATTGGCATTATTTCCTTGAATGAGGGAACATTAAATTACTGATATAAGGTAACATTGATTATGCATGAGGCTCATCATATCTCATATGTAAGCATATTTCTTTAAAAATGATTAATAAACTGTGTAAGTAAAAGAAGGATTCCTACATCTGGATATAGTGCATCAATTGTGTCAATATTTAATATAAACAAAGTGAATATAACTAACATAATATTATGTACATTTAATTACCTTCTAATACATCTTTGATTCCAAATAGTGAATAATAAAGTTAAAAAGTCCCAGTCCAGAAAGGGTTAAGACTTTTTACCCCAAGACCAATCTTTTGTTACTTTCCTTCCCCATCCTCCCAAATCTTCTGCCTATCTACTTCATATTTACAAAATTGAACTCAAAGAATAAAGATTAAGAAAACAGAAATAAGAGAAATATCTAAGAAGACAAAAAAGCAATCAAAATGATAGCAATACAAAAATCTGTATTTTATTGATGTAAAGAAACTGAATCAAGTGAAGATGAAATAAACCTTTGAATTCCCCAAATAGAAAAAATTACAGTGAATGCTATGTGAGGCAAGAGCTAAAGATAATTAGCTAAACTTAGTATCAGCTTTTAAGTTTTTTCTTCTATTCAGGTCTTTATGGAAAAAACGTACCCCACTCCTAGACTCTAATAATCCAAGGCCAGGGAGCAAAAGCAAAGTCATGAACTGAGGCAGTTCTTTGGCCAATGCAAGAACAATAAAAACACTAGAAAATAACTGTTTTCTAAATAGACTGATAGCCCATGCTAGAACATATTTTCACAAGTACAGTCTCTAAAAATGCCTCAGTATTAGAAATTTTTAGATTTCAAATCAATAATTGGGAATAAACACCACAGCATAATCCCAATAACTCAAATGGAAGCCTTTGAACAAAACTCATATATGAATATAATGTCACAAACTGTCTCTATTTAATACCTATGTCAAATGGCAAAACATTCAGTGTAACTTGGAAAGATACCTACTTTCTATGTATTTTCTACTGATAGAATCTTAAGCTCTTGAGAGCAAAGATTGAAGTCACGTTAATCAGTTTAGTAACAATTACTACATACCTTTAGATATCATCCCTACTCACAAACTTCCATAAAATTCGATGAGTTAAAAAATACAAGCAAAGTAAGTAAAATTCTGATCTCTTGCCTTCGGAATATGGTGGGACCTAAAGATATTGCTTATTCTACAAAGTACATTTAATTTTGTTTACTGAAACAGAGAAAAATAGCTATGGTGCCAAAAATTTGGTATAGGAAAGGGAAACTAACTTGGGAAATTAGAGCTCTAATTCAAGTTCCCAGCAGCTTTTAGCTAATTGTGCAACCTGCAACACTCCCCTCATGTCTCTGGGCTTCAGTTACCTCACCAATGAAATGAAATGGGCTGCGCCAGTCTTTTTGAAAGTCCGTTTAACTCTACTACCATGTAATTCTGTGTCTTTCACTAGCAACATATTTCAAGAATATAAGAAAAACATAGCAGAGATAAACATCCACAGGGTACACTCTGTAATAAAACATACATCCCAGTCCTTCAATATACAAGTTATTTGGTACCAAGATGAAATCCTCCCTATGTAACCATTGACGTGTTTGGCTTTTCCTAATAAAATACAGCTTCACCTACAAACAAGAATCACTTACAAAATAAATGAAACCAACATATGAACCACAGATCCCTTTTCCTTTACTTAGCATATGCTGTAATTTACAGAGCTACCCGAACGTTTAGGAACTTCTTGAAGGTGAACTCTCACTAAGAGAAGACAATTTTAAGGAGAAAGATACCCAGAAAGGGGGGAGAAAACCAAACCAGCCCTTCTCCCCGAAAATAAAAACCCCAAACCGCAGAAATAAGCCACGATCGCGTTGGCTGTTCTCATTTTCCTTTCAGATTAACTACCTAGGAAATCTGTATTCAACATCCAGCGCTGGGAGGAGGGTAAAAAAAAGCACAGCCCACCCCGGAACATTCAAGGAACGTCCGCGGCCATAAGTTGAGGAACTTGCTTACCAAATTCTTCCCGGCTGTTAGTGATCGGAGCCATTTTTTACTGCGTGTTCTGTCCGAGGTGCTGAACGGAAAACTGCCTGGCTTGATTCACTTGCCCGGATCTGAAGCGCCGGCTTTCAGAGTGCTGCAAACAACAGCGAAGCGCCCAGGGGACCAGCGCCTGCAACCGGGAGGAGGCAAAGAGGGAGGTCCTCTCGCCCTCGCACGGTGATTTGCCACCCCTGTTCCTGTTTTGGCTCCTCTGAAAAGCTCGTCTCCGAGACTCCAGACGTGGCTGAAACCCGAATTGACGCAATCCTGACGCTACAGGGCTGAAACCAGCACCTGCTCCCCTCCCCTCCTCCCTTCAACCCCCTCCTTTCCCCCCTCCCTCTTGCTTCCTCTCCCCTCTCTTGAGGATTCAACACATACTCATCAATTATTTTAACTATTAGGCTACTAGAGATTAGCTTTGCTATTCTGTGGGGTCGCAGAGGCACACGGAGATGAGCCCCACGACTGATCCCTGTCAGTTTCTAATATAAACTCTCCTGATCACCTAGATGAATAAAAATGCGTCTCTGAGTTATCAGAATGATATGATTTACAGAGGAGAAATCTCTGCGTCAAGTGACCAGTTGCAAAATGCAAGAATGTATTTTCTTGCTTTCTAAAATTTTCTTTGACATATTAGGCACGTGATACTTATGATTAATCTTCTGCAAATTGATCCATTTGAAATAAGATGATAGTTTTTCCACTATAATCCTTTATGTTCCAATAAATTATTAGTCTAAACTAATAGACTAAGGCTGATGCTGTTGCATCTTCCTGATCTGTCAGCTTTCTTCCCTTCAGTATCTGACATTTGACCAGTTAAAGCACTTAGGAACAGATGGGAATAATCCCTTCTGTATTCAGACCTCACTCTCAGTTATGACTTTTGCATATAATGAGACTGCTTCTGGGTTGACATTTATGGTTAAAAGCCCTGACTTCTAATAGGCTTGTGCAAAATAGTTACAACAATCATACCAAAATCTAAAATAACATTGATTATTACTGGTTATTTTCAAAGGAAAACATATATTTTTCTGAACTAACTATATTCTTGGGGAAAAGGAACTGGGGAAAATGTGTTGTCTGATTCTGATTAATTTGAATCTGAAGAGTGATACCTTTTTAAAACAAACGTTTAGCAATTTT